TTAGTCTTTCGTCATTTTTTATTACATTTGACGAAATAGTTTCTCAACTCCAAAAACATTTCGTCATGCATCATTAGACCAGGGTGCAAATCTTATCATAAAATTCCAGGCATTCTGTTAAAATTTAGAATGTCCAATAAAAATTTTGGAAATAGGCCATTTTCCAATTACACATTTTTAATATTAATATTGATACAGATTCTTTATTCGTTTTATTCGAATTATTCGTTTTATAAAATATTAATTCACAGCTTGATGCAACAAATTCTATACTAATATTAATATTATTGTTGAGGGATTTTAACTATTTGTAAAATTATAAATAAATTACAACAATTATATTTATAATCTATATTACTACTACTATAGCCGCTAGTACTATGGATTTAAGAAAATGTCAAAATTATTACTATTTATTACTATCACTATATAAAAGGACTAAAAAGGAAGTTATTTTATTATTATTTATATTGGTGTTGGAGAAATTTTTTTGGTCCGATATTAATATATAATAACAGTTAATTTATGAACAAACAACATATGGATCTTTGAGTAATAAATTAGAAACGTTGGTTTATTTTATTTTGCTCATTCATTATCTATTCATTAACTAAAAAGAATTGTAATTTCAAAAAAACAGAAGCATAACATAATTAATATAGTAGATAATGAATAATATTATAACTTATTGTATATTATAACATCATATTTATATATTTTTTTTTTTTCAAAAAAAAACAGATCTACCAATTAAACAATTGGATTGGATTATTGTTCAAGGATGGTAATAATAATATATCAATTACTAATAATAATTTTACTATTATGGTTATTGTTACGTATGCAACAAAGCATAACTGATTTATTATTGTTAACGTGGTAAGTAATAATATTAATATATTATTAATAATAATTTATTGTATAACATTGTATTAACGGGTTTGTTTATTATTATGCACGCGACCATCAAGGTAAGTAATAATGTATTACTAATAACATATAATTTATTGTATATATATATTACATTGCATTAACGGGTTATGCACGCGATCGATCAAGGTAAGTAATATTATTAATAAATAATAATTTATTGTATATATATATTACATTGCATTAGCGGGTTTGTTTATTATTATGCACGCGACCATCAAGGTAAGTAATAATGTATTACTAATAATATTATTAATAATAACTAATTGTATTAACAGGTTTATTATTATGGTTTATTGTTACTATTATGCACGCGAAAGCAATAATATTTTACTAATAATATTATTAATAATAACTTATTGTATACATATATTACATTGTATTAACGGGTTTATTATTGTGGTTTATTGTTACGCGTGGTAAGTAATAATATATTATTATTAATAATCTATACTTCTATATTAATCCTCCACGATCTAAAAGCAATTTGATTGGTTGGATTTAAAAACGTGATTTCAATTTTTATTCACAACAATATAACGAAAAAATAAATTTAAAATAAATAAAATAGAACAAATGTTTTAGAAGATGTGACTAATCAAATAATTTCTAGCATTTTCTGATTTTTCATAAAATTTTATAATAACTTTTGCATGGCATGATTTTAATTTTTTGTACAACGCAATTTCTGATTTTCCATATACATACACACTAAATATCCGATCGCGCTTATTATTATGCAGTTCAAAATTTTATTAATCAAACTGGGACTGGTGCATTAAGTAAAAACATGTTTTTTTTAAAGTTAATTTGCATATAAACTTAAAGTCTCGTCGAGTTTGCATTATTAAAGAATTTAGGACGAAAATTTTAAATTAGACAGAAAATTCCGTGATTTTTATGAAAACCTTGAGCTTAGTATTAGTAAAAACCCCATTGAATCATTGATTACGTCATTAAGTAAGTCCGCTTAAAATATCTTGAATTATATGTGGTTAAAATTTGATCAAGTATAGACAACAAAACTTAAAGCCTTAAAATTTGCATTTTGTCAACTTTATTAAGTGTTTTATATAATAAAATTACAGTGTGGTCGGATAATTTTTTAAACCCTTATCACGAACTAATTTATTCCAACACCATATTGTAGATATATGTAATCTGTTATGTTGAGCACATTTTATTAATGAAATAATATACATACATTATAATGAAGAAATTTGACCTTTATTACATGTAAAGATTCCGATTGAAAATTTGCTTTTTTGGACTATTTGCTAAATGTTTTCATTAATACCATACCAAATCTTTCGAAATTAACAAAATAATCAAGCTAATGCAATAAATAGTAACATGAGTAATATGAATAAGAATAATACGAATAACATTGTTGATAGATAATTTTGACACGCCTTCTTAAGCTGCTCATTTTCAAATTCAAAAATAATTTTAAACAACAACATTAATAATAATTTTAATTTATATCCAATCGGACTACTACTACCTACTACCACAACAGCAAATCCAATATCTGCCACCACTGCCGCATTCTCAAATTATACAACAGCAATGATAGCTTACGGCTTCGAATTCTCAAGTGAGTCATTATGATCACCATCCAAATGGACTTCTTATTAATCCCCAATCAAGTGATCAAACACAATTTGGTCTGTATAATCACAACAACAATAATAATAATACACTAGGTGGAAGCATTGATCATGAGGTTCTAAGTTTAAACGACATTAGTATGAACCTTTCAGAGATTTTGAATGAATAAAGATAATCACTTTAATCAATCATTTATTGATCTAATAACTTTATATTTAACATCAAATTTGCCGAGTGTGTAACATTAATGCTAATTTAGTTATATGTTAAGTCAACTTCAACTGTTACTAAATTGGTGGTTTGCCCTGATAAAAGATTAATTACTACTATGAATTTAATTGAATTCCATATTTCCTTTTTTAACACACAGAGCTTGTATGTTTTTGAGCCAATATATGTAATACTGTAATATTAATATTAGTATTACTATTAGTAAGTATGGGGTTTTTCCTATAAATTAAAGTCAAATAAAAAGCCTAAAGCTTAATATTTAAATTAACTTGGATTTGAAAAAATAAAATAATATTACTTTTACTTGTGACCAATGAGATCAACATTAAAAATCAAAAGCCGAGCTCGGTTAAGGTTTTATCTGATTACTAAAATGGATAAATGACAAAAATTATTTTATGTTCTTCAAAAATAATCAAATTAAAAAATAATTTATATCATTATTATATAGCTTGGTTATATACGTTATTAAATTTCTTTATTATTGTGCGATTCTAATTATACATCGATTTCACCATCCATTTCAGATGCGTTCCATTTTTCCAGGATGTCCACGTCTCTAATGCTTTGAACAATAATTACAAGTTCCATCCTGATATCCATGTGTATCAGAATCATTAGTTTTATAATAAATTCAAATTTTCTCTCTAGGCTGATCTCCAGCACGTCGCTTACTCTTCCATTTTGATCCTGCTGATTTGTATTAAATGACATGTATCTTTCAGAAAATGTATTAGCTTGAGATGATACATTTGAAAATAAATTTGAGGTGGAAGTAAAACTTTAGTCATTTTAATAATAAAAATTTTGACTTTAGGCGCGGGCTTAGCAAACTATTAATTAAACTTCATTATAACATTTTACAATTGCAACAACTAAAATCCTAAATGCAAAAACTATTTTATCATTTAAATGCAAAAGTTAAGTGACATCATTAATTGAAAGTATCCTAAAGTAAATATTGGTGCAATGATTGGATGACAAAAGAATTTAAAAATACTGGTATTTATTTTATTAATTGTAATTAGGTCATATAATATTATATCATAATAACTTTTCATCATAATCTAATTTATTGAATGTGCTACTCTGAAGCAAATACTGGTGACAATGATTAATACCGGTTCCGTCTGTGCATTTTATATGCATGTTTTACTGTTTTTAATTCTGTATGTTTTGCTCTTTCTGATGTTAATTTTTTTTTTATAGGGCATGCATGATCTTCGAAAAAAGAGATTTCCTACCTTTTTTAAAATAACTCTGTAATTGCATAGATTAAAACTCAAACTTTATCACACCAAAAAGATTTTTCAAAATATTGATTGTTGTTGAGTTCAAGTCATTTTGTAAACAAGGTTTTACTATGCAAGGAATTTGGTCGCAAAATTCTTCCAAATATAAAACCTGCAAAGTAGAGTCAATAACTATTGAAAATTATTCAAGAAAGAGAAATTTACATTTGAATTCACCAAGAAGGATAAACAATAGAAAAAGAAGGTAGAATGAAAGTGAGCTATTACTTTGGAAGATAAAATATAATATGGGTTAAACTCTGTGATTACATAAATTATTAAATAGATTTACTGTCAAATTTTTCTTCTCCCTTCACACACATACAAACAATCTGGTGCCGACTGCAGTCTGACCCAACGGGTTGTATATTTGAGATGTTTCTTATATAATAATAAACATAAAATTTTAAATTGTTGATGAAACGTAAAATTCAATTTTAAACAAAAAGATGCCACGTTACCAGTTATACATATTATTTCTATTTAAAGTTAGGTTATAGTAATGGAATGTAAATATGTAGGACCTAATTGACTTACTACATTGAGAAGGCAAGGAATGCTCTGCAGGTTACGTTTTTGGCAATTGTAGGAATTGGGGAACGATTGCAAATCAAGTATTTTTTACGTCAACTTGAAAGTAGCTTTAATTACCCAGCTGATAATGGATCTTGTTCAACGATTTTTGGTTTGGTATTAAGGGGGAATGGTTACAACTTTATAACGGCTACGCGAGCAGGTATAATTTTTATTAACATATGACAAATTGATTACTACTGATGCTTTCTCTGTGGATAAAGTTGGAGTATTTGGGATATTGATCATTTGATTAAAATGTTTGCTTATCTATTCAACATCTGATTCCATTTGAAATTGTTAAGCGACCCATTGAAAGAACGAAAGTGTGTAATTCGATTATTAGTATAAAAAAATAACAAAAAACCAACATTTATTATGTAGGTTACTGAGAAAACACTTTTAAAAAACAATAACTCCTGCGAATGAGTGAGTAGAAAACACAAATGACATGTGTTTTTATTAATATTATGATTAAATATTCATAATTACTTAGTTTTTTTAATAGAATTACAACCAAGTCAAGCGTATGTATTTCGTTGTTGTATAGTAGTATAACGTTTAAATATTAATATTATACAGTTCATTCTCTATATGGTTTACGAAAAGATGTCTATTATAGACAGTAATGATTTATATATTAATATAGGACATGTAGATTGAGCTTAAATCCTTATTCTGTTATAGTTCAAGACCCATTATTATTATTATTATTATTATTATTATAGAAAGACAGATCTATTATTGTAGAGAATTACTATTTTTTTATATATATATATATGATTTTTTGGCACTTATTCCAAAATTTTAAGCAGTTATGTTAGTTCAGGTTTATATACCATGGGAGTTGAAGCTTTAAATAAGTCCTTTATATTAACACTAACAGCAATGAAGCACGTTAAAAACTTTATTATCCGTTATAATAATTAATAATTTTTTAAGTTGCAAAATAAAATCGTGTAACGCAAATTTGTATAACAGATTTTTATTATTATTATGGAAAATATTTTGTTAGTCGATCACTCTATCCGATTTCATTCACATAATACGTAATTGTTTATTTTAATATGAACTACAATAGACAAAGTTATTTTTTAACAAAAAATATATAAACCCATTTGTGGATATTTAACTAAAAATTTTATATAAAAAGATTTTTTTTCTTTTCATTTACGATCGGACCACCAATTAAAATTAATTAATAAAAGAATAAAAAACATCAGTGTTCTAAATGAGAATATATCATGATTATTTAATGCATGTGACAAGAATACTTCCTTCTTTTTACTTGTTTGATATAAAGAATAAAATGAAAATTTCTTTGGATGCGGCAAAATAAATTCGAACAGATTATTAAATAATAAATTAAATAATAAACAAATAAACAAATTCTCTTTGTAATTTATTCAACCCCCGTTTACATAAAAGATATCAGAAAACTCATATGTAAATAAATAATAAACAGAAGCAATAAATAATTTTTGAATGAAGTCTTTTTTTATATTATCAAATAATCAACCATTTAAACGTAACTGATAACAATACTAATTGTTAATACTAATGAAAATAAGTTAATAGTTCACATAATATTTTATTTATTAATTATTGCTAATTTTCGATTGAGGGAATTTTTTATTTGTATTTTTTAACAATAGGTGCGAATTTTGCATCTAAAGCGGTGAAGGTACAATCATGTGATATTAGTAATTTCCATGTAATGTTTTTACACGTTTTAATTATTAATCTTTTTTTTTTAACCTGCTTCGCCCTCAAACAAATTTACAAATAAACAATAATACTAAAAACTTCCTTTTTACCAATATTATTACCATTTTTAATATAGATTTGTTAACTGTTGAATCGATTTCTGACGGTAAAGACATGGAACAATTTCTGTTAATTCATTTAATACTCTTGAAACAGGTAAAATTAGTTTATTTATATTCCCACAGATCTGATGTAATTTTATACTCAAAGGCAGCAAATACAGAACTTTCAACACAAACTTGGTATAAATTATTTAAACAATTTTGCCAGGAAGCCGATATTTATAATAAAGATATAGCAAATGAAAACAATTGGAATTAGATTTCTTGACGGATGTTGGTTAAACAAGATATACCAAGTTTGGAAAATTTTATTTGACAAGATTAAATTATAGCAGACACTACCAGATAAAATAAAACAATTTTTAGATACCAACAGTGTTAGAAGAACAAATTCTGATGCCTCAGAAAATATTACATATTTTAGAACATCCTCCATTAAATCTGAATTAACTTCTTTCTCTTACAAAAAAGTAGCCTTCTGGCCTTCATATATATATGTGGCTTTCGTGGAGGAGATATAAAAGATCCTTGGGTAACATTAAATAATAATAAGAGGGAAATAATCATGGTGGTGGCCTTGATGATAAAATACCTGATTAAAAAAGCCATTTAAAATCCATCTAAACAAAAAGTTTCGAAAGATGGAATTCTTTACCAATTTAGAATTACATAATATGCAATAAACGCTAATTAAAGTTGACAATAATAGGAAATAAAATTACGTAAGTAAATCATGCGATTATTCCATATAAAAATTATTGAATTTTTTAAAAAAATAATGTCAAATCGAGTAATTTATATATGACGGAAAATTATATTTGCTTGAATAAGTATGATAATAATAATGAATTACGTATTTCATACAAGTTAAGAACCTACCAAAACTATTATTTTAGCAATTTTCGAATGTTTATTATTATGATTTTGAATGCATATTATGAAAAGAACTAAATAATTAATTTCCTAATCAGTCCAGTAAATAACATTCATTCATTCAATTACAAAACGATCTATTAAAAAGTTAAAAATTTTTTTTTTCAATTTTCTGAAACGTATATAAACCAATCCTTCTTTCTTGCTTTTTTTCAAAAAAAAAATTTTTTTTAATCAAAAAATGAATGATCAAAAAAATAATATTTTCGCTTCAACCTGTTCTACTTACACGTCTGATATTGGCACTTCTGGCGGAAATGCTTTGACTACCAATTTAAATAATATTAATAATGATCCTTTTGTAATTTCAACTCGTTCTCAATTTTTACTTTCGCCTCAACCTGAATTTTCACATTCCCAATTTTTACACGGACAACATTTACTTGTCGAAACACAACAGTCTCAACCTTTTTTTCCGCTAAATCCTCATCCAAGCCATCATCGGAATGAGCCTATTACTCCTCAACAAAATAATCAAGCTAATACAATTAATAGTAACATGAGTAATATGAATAACATGAATAATATTGTTGATAATTTTGTCACGTCTTCTCAAGCTGCTCATTTTCCAAATTCGAAAATAACTTCAAGCAACAACGACGACAATGACAACGACGACAGCGGTAATGACAAAAATAACATTGGTAATGCTTTTGATTTATATCCAATCGGACTACTACCACCACAACAGCAAATCCAATATCCGCAATCACTGCCGCATTCTCAAATTACACAACAACAAAGAGAACTTACGGCTTCGAATTCTCAAGTAAGCTATTATGATCATCATCGAAATGGACTGATTAATCCTCAATCAAGTGATCAAACACAATTTGGTTCAAGATTTCCGTATAACGACAACAACAACAACAATAATGTACTAGGTGGAAGTATTGATCGTGAGATTCTAATTTTAAACGCCATCAATAAAAACCTTTCAGAGATTTTGAATGAATATAGTGTTTTGGCTGGACATCTTAATAAAATTCAAAATATAAATAGAAATCTCTCAAATATCTTGAATAATAATAATCACTTTAATTAATCATTTATTGATCTGATTTATCGGGAAAAAAACATTATTAAGCCATTTGGCTGCCTTATTATTTAGATACAAAATAACGTCAGCATAATTGATATACTATTTATACAATATTTCTATAATATGTATTTAAATCTTTTTCTTGTATTATTTATTCATTTTGTCATTTTTTTTTTACATTTCCGCCGTTTTGTTGTAAAATAATAAAATTAAACTAGATAAAAATAAAATAAACAATTTAAAATTGCAAATTTATGGTATACTTTTGAAAAGAAATTGACCAAGTATTTCATTTCGTTTTTGTAAATCAAATACACTTGCTGAAGCAGGCGTATTAACTGATTGATTAGATGTGTCATGTAATTGATCACAACTAGCCAAGGAAATATTTGTTTGAGACAAAGGTTTGATAAGAGTTTTGAACAGTCAATTGCTTTTGGAGAATAATTATACAATTAGAAATAATTTATTAAAACATGAATTATATATATATATACACCTTGTCTTTGCAATAAAATTTTGCTGTTATAAAAGAGCATGTGACAAAAATAGATTATTATTTCCTTCTTTTTTACTTGTTCGATATAAAGAATAAAATGAAAATTTCTTTGGATGCGGCAAAATAAATTCAAACAGATTATTAAATAATAAATTCTCTTTCTGATTTATTCAACCCCCGTTTACATAAAAGATATCAATGAAAACTCATATGTAAATAAATAATAAACAGAAGCAATAAATAATAAACATAAATAATTAATAAAAAATAGTCAATTTTTTTAAAGCAACAATCAAAACATTGATTATAGAGTTCACACACAGTCATAATATACATATTGAGATTGCGGAAAATCTTATTGTGGATCATGAGGAAGAAAAGCTATTTTTGAATGAAGTCTTTTTTTATATTATCAAATAATCAACCATTTAAACGTAACTGATAACAATATTAATTGTTAATATTAATGAAAATAAGTTAATAGTTCACATAATATTTAATTTATTAATTATTGCTAATTTTCGATTGAGGGAATTTTTTATTTGTATTTTTTAACAATAGGTGTGAATTTTGCATCTAAAGCGGTGAAGGTACAATCATGTGATATTAGTAATTTCCATAATGTTTTTACACGTTTTAATTATTAATCTTTTTTTTTACCTGCTTCGCCCTCAAACAAATTTACAAATAAACAATAACACTAAAAACTTCCTTTTTACCAATATTATTACCATTTTTAATATAGATTTGTTAACTGTTGAATCGATTTCTGACGGTAAAGACATGGAACGATTTCTGTTAATTCATTTAATAGTACAAATTCTTTTGAAACAGTAAAAATTAGTACTGAGAAGGTTTATATTCCCACAGATCAAGAATTGTATGATGTAATTTTATATTCAAAGGCAGCAAATACAGAACTTTCAACATAAACTTGGTATAAATTATTTAAAAAATTTCGCCAGGAAGCCGATATTTATAATAAAGATATAGCAAATTAAAAACAATTGGAATTGGGAATATGTAGATTTCTTGACGGATGTTGGTTAAACAAGATATACCAAGTTTGGAAAAAAATTTATTTGACAAGATTAAATTATAGCAGACACTACCAGGTAAAATAAAACAATTTTTAGATACCAACAGCGTTAGAAGAACAAATTCTGATGCCCCAGAAAATATTACATATTTTAGAACATCCTCCATTAAATCTGAATTAACTTCTTTCTCTTACAAAAAGTAGCCTTCTAGCCTTCATATATATATGTGGTTTTCGTGGAGGAGATCTAAAGATCCTTGGGTAACATTAAATAATAATAAGAGGGAAATAATCATGGTGGTGGCCTTGATGATAAAATACCTGATTAAAAAAGCCATTTAAAATCCATCTAAACAAAAAGTTTCGAAAGATGGAATTCTTTACCAATTTAGAATTACATAATATACAATAATCACTAATTAAAGTTGACAATAATAGGAAATAAAATTACGTGAGTAAATCATGCGATTATTCCATATAAAAATTATTGAATTTTTTAAAAAAAATAATGTCAAATCGAGTAATTTATATATGACAGAAAATTATATTTGCTTGAATAAGTATGTTAATAATAATGAATTACGTATTTCATACAAGTTAAGAACCTACCAAAGCTATTATTTTAATTTTTGAATGTTTATTATTATGATTTTGAATGCATATTATGAAAAGAACTAAATAATTAATTTTCCTAATCAGTCCAGTAAATAACGTTCATTCATTCAATTACAAAACGATCTATTAAAAAGTTAAAAAAAATATTTTCAATTTTCTGAAACGTATATAAACCAATCCTTCTTCCTTTTTCAAAAAAAAAATGAATGATCAAAAAAATAATATTTTCGCTTCGACCTGTTCTACTTACACGTCTGATATTGGCACTTCTAGCGGAAATGCTTCGACTACCAATACCTTCATTAACTATCTTAAGGAATCTAATGGACTTACTGAGTTTGAAACAGTTTGAAATAATTAAAAGTACACGTAATCTTTCATTATTAAACTTTAAGTATCATATGATATTACCTTCTAATTTACTTGTTGATATCTCAAAGCTTAATTATATTCTTGCTAGTGATTTGCATCCACCTCCATTTAAAATTGTTTATAGAGCTGATACCATTGAATCTATTAGAAAGCTTTCGATTATATTTGAATCTAATGGAAAGAAAACTCGAGTTATAATTTGGCCTAGTGGGAAGATAAATATAATGTCTGCAACTTCATATGATGATGCTTTCAAAATCTATAACTTCTTGGGTGAAATTTTCGAAACTGAAGCTTCAAATATACTTGAAATTGTTCCTACTCGTGATCCTCCTCAGCCTAAAACTCCTGGTAGAAGGAGACAAAAAAAGTATGATTAAGATTGTAAGATTTCCTTTCTATATATCTCAGCTTTGGATTCCTGGTACATTACTTTGTTTGGTTACCTTTGGTGCTTTCAGCTTCGATTTTTTCAATTTCATTTATAAAATTATTGATTCTAGCAGTAATGTAATACTTACTCTCAGGGTTTAAATTTCGGTTCTTTATTTTATTGTATTTTGGGATAATGCGCCTTCTCCAGTCTGGAACCTTTTCTTCTTTATTTTTAGCATATTTCCCAGATGAAATAGCTTTAGCTCTTGGTCTCGTTTGAGTAGTTAACTTTGGTGTTTTCATATACTCAATCATTTCTCTGTCCTCTACTAGATCTCCTGCCTCGAACAGGTCTTTGCTCTCATCTAGATAAGAAATTGCTTTAGCAATATAGTTAAAAGATTGGGTAATATGATAACATTTTTGTTTTATTTTTATATAGAATGCAGAAATCTTTAATTCGAAAATTTTATTAGCTGACAAAAAATTTTTCTTTCTTGAATTACATCACATAGTAAATTGATATACTAATTGGCTTTATAGTCCAGGCTAGCTCTATTCATTACATTCATATCTATTCCTTCGCTAGCCCTTTTTCATTGGAAAGCTGAATAGTATAAAAACAGTTAAAATTAATGCATACAGGTCCTTGTGGATATACAAAAAAATCGTATTGAAATCCATGAAATAAGCTTCTGGAAGACCTTGTGGCTATAAACTTGATAAATTGCCTCGGAAAAATCTGAGATTTGTCCCAGAAACAGCCAAAGTATACAACACCATGAATTTTCTTAACTCATTTACCAATTGATTTTCGTCTTAATATCTTTGATTTCACCAACAAAATTGCATTTTTCTGAACTCCTTGAACGATTTAATCCACGTATTTTAGATTTTTCTGTAGCAATTACTTTAGAATAAGCTAGAACTTCCTCCAATTGCTCATCAGAAAGAATTAAAAATCTTTCACTATATGGCTAAATTGAATTAATTAATAAACTCATATATTTTTAAATCTATTCATTTTTGCTATTTATACCTTGTCATCATCTAAAGCTTGATACTATTTATTTTACATTAAAAATTTTTTTTTGAAAATGAGTAAGCCATGTTATGAATTTTTAAAATGAAAATTTATATAGTGATTTTCATCCACTTTGGCTTGAGAGTTAGCCATGGAAGCCAGTAAACAATAGTTACAAGTTTTATTATAGCTGATTGCGACCAACAACAAGCCACCAGCTATCACTGGCTATAATACTTTATCATCTAAATCTTCAATTTCTTGACTATTATCTTGCTGTATTCAATTTTAAAAGATTAATCCCTATAAAAAATTTGGCACAGAAATGTATGGAAAAATGCTTGGAATTTGTATGGAAAAATGCGAATTTCAGATAAAATTCCGTACAGTATTCCATACTAATACATTTTCCCATACTAATACATTTCCGTGCCAATTTTTTATAGGGAATGAACAAATAAAACGTGAAATAAATAAATAAAATATGCAACACTATTTTTTTATAGTACCTCTTCCTCTTCCGTTGATTGCATCTCCTGTTGTTGTTCAAGTTACAAATGATAATAAATAAATTGTGAACCAACACGAATAGAATATAAATTACTATTTTTTAGGTAGTACCTTGTCAGAATCTGTCTCAATATAAGTTGGATCTTGGTGTTCGTCCCCTTCTTCCTGTGCTTATATTTACAAAAAAAGTTTTTTTTTATTGTTATAAAATATATAAACACGTAAATAAAAACTGTTTTCCTTGGTACCTCAACACTATATAAATCAAATTGGTGCTCCATTTTTTGGAATTGAAGAAATTTTTTATTTTTTATTTTATTTTTTGAATTTATTACCTATTTATCCTGATTGGTGACCAGTGTTGTGACCCGAAACTCTGAGTTTTGGGAAAACCCGAAACTAGTTTAGGTTAGTAGTTTATGTTTATGTTTAGTTTTAGTTTTAGTTTTCTGCTTAGTGTAAGTTCATTTTCCGAAACGTTTCGGGAAGCCAAAAGAGTTTCTGGTCACAACACTGTTTGGCTTGGCCTTTTCTTTACAAGGATCATCCATGTTGGGCTCCTCGTTCAAAGTTTTTAGGTCTAAGTTTATTGCTCGAATGACAGTTACCTACACAAAAAAAAAAAAAATCGTTTGTTATATTTTTTAAATCTCTCATCATTTATTTATCGAAATAATAATAAGTGATTATTAAAAAAAATAAATTACAAATAATTCAGATCTGACATTGAGAAATCTTCCAACCATCATCATAATGAAATCTTCCTTAATTTCTTGGATCCTTTCTTCAAAGCTCTGTCGAAACGCCTTAAAATTTAAATTTACTAACTCTTCTTCATCTACTCTACAATATGCAACTAAACATTTGCACCGCTCACAGTTTATATATATATAAGTTAAAATAGATGCCATCGTTTTTAAAAATAGATTTTTATTGTTTGTGGCAGTGTTTTTTTTTTAAAAAAAGCGTTTGATTTGTTTGAAAATAATTAAATTTTTTTTTAAAAAAAAAAAAAATTTGTTGAATCGTCAGTTATTTTTATTGAAAAATTTTATTACCATTACTAATGATTTTATTATTACTAATAACAACAATAAACATTTTATCAATTATAATTGTTAACGAATGCGCGCGTGCGTATCCATGAACTCACACTTTAATACTTTAATAGTAACCTCGTTATCGTGTACCCAAAAAAAAATTAGATCGTAAATTTTAGCCATAATCTAAAAGATATTGTTTATCGTTTAAAATAATAATAGTAATAACAATCCAAATAACTTTAGTTGCGCAGCTGCATGACAGTACGTAATAACAATTGAAAAAACGGTTTTCGGATTTTTGACGTATTTTTTTATTTTTACTCAAGAATAATAAAAAGTAAATAATTTTGGTTACGCAGCATGTAAACAATTTGAAAAAAACTGATTTTTCGGATTTTGACGTATTTTTTTTTATTTTTACTCAAGAATAAAAAGCAATTGAAAAAAACCGTTTTTCGGATTTGACATACTTTTCTTATTTTTGCCTAATAAAAAGTAATAATTTTTTTAATAATTCCTAGCCTCAATAATTAATGATCGGGAAAAACAGTAATATTAAATCATGATGATAAAGAATAATTGTCATAATTTTTAATGTATTTACTTAAAAAAAAGTAATTAATTCTACCCAAACCCAAATCACATAATAATAATCTATTCTTAAAAGGTTTTGTCGATTTCTTTAACAAAAAAATTTGGTAATATGATGATGATCGAATGAAATAAAGAAAATCCGTCACATAAATTTTATTAACTAATAAATATTCTCGTCATCACTCGTTATTGATCATAATATATGTACAACAACGTTACAGTGTACTATTACAACACATTATTGTTGTAAATGGAATTGGTTAAAAATTAAATTAATAAATAATTATTGAATAATTTATTTTTTTCTCTTTCATCACCTATCTTCAAAAAAAATAAAGGGCGATGAAGCTTCAACGAATCCAATTGCTTCAATTTTTGCTTGGAAAAGAGGTTGGCTCATAGAACTGAAATAGATGGAAATGATAAATTATTAAAATTTTCCACAGATCTTGAACAAGCTTGTATTGACTCTGTTGATATTCATAGTAAAATGACTAAAGATTTAGCTTTATCAATTTATGGAAAAATCTAAGTTGATTAATTTAAGGTATTTTTTTTTGTATTTCTAATATGGTTGGCTCGGTCTAAAGACCTCCTATTGCTGCGCCATGCGCTCAAATTTCAAAAATTGCAATTTCGTGATTCGTTCAAAAATGCAATAAATTTTTTTAAAAATTTTCCTTACTGCCAAATTTAGATATGATGGTCGAGTATTAGGCTAAATTTAGGAATGATGGTCAAAAACTAGTCT